CACCTGTGGTCTGATCTGGGCGTTGAGAGTGGACACAGAATCTATTGGACACCCGCCCTTAGCAGTCCTCCAGGTTCCCCAGACCCCTGTCCGTGAAGTCTGAGGCGGCATCCCCTGCAGCTACAAGCAAACAAGCTGACAGTGGCTTTTGACGGTGGACATGGGGCGGGGGATTCCTGATCATGCAGCAAACAAGCAGGCATGCGAGTGTGGGAGGGTTCTTGGTTTTCAGACATTGCTGCTGGTCCTGTCTCTTCATCTGGCTCCTGGGCTTGCTTAAATCACCATTTGGCCACTGTAAACCACAGCCAGGAGAATCCTGAGAGGTACGGGGCTGAACACCTGCCTTTCCCTGCCCCAGCCTGTTCCAGCGTGGAATAGGGCCCCATTTGGGATTCTGCCGTGTCTCTTGGTCTTGACTTGGTATGTGCTGCCTCTGTGTGGCCTGGTTCTGGTTCCTGATGAGGTCCAGGCCCTAACTCCTTTGCCACAAGCCGTGATTACTGATCTCTAACTGGCTAGTCATTGGCCTTTCTGATTCTTGTCCTATAGTATTTTTTATCTATTTTCATGAACAATTCTAGCCATGACACAGGGCATGAAAAGAATCTGAAACCCCACTTAAAAGGAAGTGCTGATCTTAGCTAGAAGGAGGTGCTGCTCTGTCTTATGTCTAAAATATTGTAATAGTTATATCCTAGACTTTGAGCCTTAAGTCTTGTGGTTTTCATAGTTTGGTGCTATGGACTTATTCACTCAGTCTTCAAACAACGACCTGTTTGATTAAATCATTGAACAATACATGGTGAGGGCAGGTGATGAAGTGGTGGTCCAAAAGGAGAAAGTCAAATCCAGCCAGTGAAGGGCAAAATGACGGCTGGTCCAGGGTATTTACTGTTTATGATTCCGCTGAATCAATCAACGTTAAGAAATGTTCTCCCTCTGTGACCATAAACCATGACCACGGAAGTCTCAAAATCTGACAGATTTGCAGGAGAAGAATTGATGAGTCAAAAACAAACCAGCTCACTACCTCTCCTACAAGAAATAAAGATCACTCCTTGGGTCAAAACAATGACTGTCCTCATCGGGAACTCAGATCAATTACCTGGACAACTTAGGTTTTCACATTCCTGTACAATAAGAACAAATAGGCCTCTCCGAGTGGTTTTGCATTATTAGAATTTGTTCAGGAGAGAAGAATCATTAAAGTCTTCTGTGAGAAAATGAAGTAACAAAAAATGTTTTCTGGATACTCTAGAACCTTTTTGCTATTTTATGGAGTTGGTATTGTTCCCCATTACTGTAACCATAGATACAAGGCTACAGAATCAGCCTCGCTGCTGAATAACACCACAAGATTCTCTCTGAACTTATTTTATTTTTTTGGCCACTCTGCACGGCATGCGGTATCTTAGTTCCCCAACCAGGGATCAAACCCGCACCCCCTGCAGTGGAAGCGTGGAGTCTTAAGCATTGGACCTCCAGGGAAGTCCATCCCCTCTCTGAACTAATTTTAAAACAGCATTCCTTTGGATCTTCCAAACAAAATTCTTCTGAAACTGGAACTAGGGTTAAATTTAGGTTGACAAGGATTTCATAAAAGCAAAACCCTTTAAAATTTGCATTAAAAATTCATGTATCAGGACTTCCCTGGTGGCTCAGTGGTTAACAATCTGCCTGCCAATGCAGGGGACATGGGTTCGATCCCTGCTCCAGGAAGATCCCACATGCCGTGGAGCAACTAAGCCCGTGCACCACAACTACTGAGCCTGCACTCTAGAGCCTGCGAGCCACAACTACTGAGCCCTCGTGCCAGAACTATTGAAGCCCGCACGCCTAGAGCCCCATGCTCCACAACAAGAGAAGCCACTGCAATGAGAAGCCCGCGCACCGCAACAAAGAGCAGCCCCCGCTCGCCACAACGGGAGAAAGCCCACGCGCAGCAACGAAGACCCAACACAGCCAAAAATAAATTAATTTAAAAAAAAATTCACATGTCTAATTGAACAGCCTTGGTTGGGTGATGATAATAAATATTCCCAAAAGTTCATTTCACTTCTGCAGGCTTTCTCACAAGAAAGTTCTGTAGCTTTGTCCCAAGCATATTAGAATATTTCTTCTCAGCTTGGCAACACAAGCAGGACTGATATAATGATAGTCATCAGTTTGCTTCATTCTGTCATAATTAATACCAAGTGTGCGTGGCCATGCTTCAGGTCAGTTCCTGCTCACGTCACTCTGTCCCCATCCAGGTCCCTGGGATTCACGCTATGGTCACAGAATCCACTGTGTTTTATTCTTACTCCTTTTTTCGTTCATGTAACTGTGCTGAAAACACTAGATACTGTCCTGTTCTTTTAACTCAAACTGGCTCCTACACTACGAAGAAATCTTTTCGGCAGAACTTACTTGCAGATGTCTTAGTAAGTCAGCATAAGCGTGACTCCATCACGAGTGGGATTGTCTCACAGAACGTCTGTTCTTCATTATGTTTACAGAAGACACTGTAGGGCCCCATTGCTGTGCTTGCCTTTGCCATCTATGTGGTCAGAAGATGTCACCCTAATACCCACAGGGAGTGTATCATGAAACTTAACAAACAATAGGTAGAATGCTCCTCACACCGTATCTGTCACATGATAAGTAATCAGTATATGTATCTAGTGTTCAGTACACAGCAGATACTCAATAAATATTGGTTTAATAAATGAATGACTGGATGAATGAACAAATGAATGGACAATCAGCCAGATAAATACCTGTTTTATGTTGCCAATATAGATTCTTCTCCTCTAGACTTAAACTTTTGCTTAAGAAATGGAATAAACTGTGCGTGGTGGCCTTCAGTAATGTTGGGTAAAGCTCCCAGGGTCTCATAGGAGAAAGAGCCATGACTTGGGCCAATTCCGCAAGCCCACTACTGACAGAAATCCCACACCAGTCTGCAGGCATCAGGTCTGCAGTGAAGGGTGGGGCTGAGCCCTCACCAGGGGATCATTACTGAACAGAGCCAATGAAAATAAAGTCGCAGGCCCTGCTTGCTGTGCCTCTAAGGGTGGCAGGTACAATTTTTTTGTTTGTTTGTTTTGTTTTGTTTAACATCTTGATTGGGTTATAATTGCTTTACAATGGTGTGTTAGTTTCTGCTTTATAGCAAAGTGAATCAGTTATACATATACATATGTTCCCATATCTCTTCCCTCTTGCGTCTCCCTCCCTCCCACCCTCCCTATCCCACCCCTCCAGGCGGTCACAAAGCACCGAGCCGATATCCCTGTGCCATGCGGCTGCTTCCCACTAGCTATCTACCTTACGTTTGTTAGTGTATATATGTCCATGCCTCTCTCTCGCCCTGTCACAGCTCACCCTTCCCCCTCCCCATATCCTCAGGTCCGTTCTCCAGTAGGTCTGTGTCTTTATTCCTGTCTTACCCCTAGGTTCTTCATGACATTTTTTTTTCTTAAATTCCATATATATGTGTTAGCATACGGTATTTGTCTTTCTCTTTCTGACTTACTTCACTGTGTATGACAGACTCTAGGTCTATCCACCTCATTACAAATAGCTCAATTTGGTTTCTTTTTATGGCTGAGTAATATTCCATTGTATATATGTGCCACATCTTCTTTATCCATTCATCCGATGATGGGCACTTAGGTTGTTTCCATCTCCGGGCTATTGTAAATAGAGCTGCAATGAACATTTTGGTACATGGCTCTCTTTGAATTTTGGTTTTTTCAGGGTATATGCCCAGAAGTGGGATTGCTGGGTCATATGGTAGTTCTATTTGTAGTTTTTTAAGGAACCTCCATACTGTTCTCCATAGTGGCTGAACCAATTCACGTTCCCACCAGCAGTGCCAGAGGGTTCCCTTTTCTCCACACCCTCTCCAGCATTTATTGTTTCTAGATTTTTTGATGATGGCCATTCTGACTGGTGTGAGATGACATCTCATTGTAGTTTTGATTTGCATTTCTCTAATGATTAATGATGTTGAGCACTCTTTCATGTGTTTGTTGACAATCTGTAAATCTTCTTTGGAGAAATGCCTATTTAGGTCTTCTGCCCATTTTTGGATTGGCTGGTTTGTTTTTTTGTTATTGAGCTGCATAAGCTGCTTGTAAATTTTGGGGATTAATCCTTTGTCAGTTGCTTCATTTGCAAATATTTTCTCCCATTCTGAGGGTTGTCTTTTCCGCCTTGCTTATGGTTTCCTTTGCTGTGCAAAAGCTTTGAAGTTTCATTAGGTCCCATTTATTTTTGTTTTTATTTCCATTTCCCTAGGAGGTGGGTCAGAAAGGATCTTGCTGTGGTTTATGTCATAGAGTGTTCTGCCTATGTTTTCCTCTAGGAGTTTGATAGTGTCTGGCCTTACATTTAGGCCTTTAATCCATTTTGAGCTTATTTTTGTGTATGGTGTTAGGGAGTGATCTAATCTCATACTTTTACATGTACCTGTCCAGTTTTAAGGGTGGCAGGTACAATTTTGAGCCTACCTTTCCCTCCTCTACTTACAGAGTCATTATCAGACCCTCTTGGTCTGCCTTACCCACACCTGGGCTACCACCAGACCTCCTCAGCTCCTTGCCCCTCTGATCCTCCAGCTCATCGCTCTTTGGGGCATCTGGGTAGGGAAACTGAGGCATGCAATGATGGAGGGCTCCCTGTACCCGAAGATCAAAAGCTCCTCAAGGACCCCCTCCCAAGCATCTTTCCTCTCCCAACCCCACCCCCACCCTTCCCCACTCAAGAAGGTAACCAGCAAGGGGATGGCAGGCAAACATCCTCAATGGCCCTCTGACTGGCTTGGGAGTAAGATAGGCTTAAAAGCTTGGCTTTACATACCAGAAAAACTTTGCGCCGGAAATACTGGTCTAACTTGAAGGTCCTGATCCTTAGCAAACACTTCTGGAATTCCAGACTCCTTCGGTGCAAGGCTTCCATAAACCATTTTTATAGTGGTCTTTTTGAGACAAAGAAAAGAGTTTTTCACTCACCTTTTTTCTTCCAACTACTGTTCAGCTTTGGGGACATACTTCAGTTCACTTTTAATATTCTGGATCTCTGATAGGTTGACCGCAGGTCCTGGAAGTTTCTTAGCTCCTGGAATTGACTTCTTCTCCTCATCCAAAGTGGGAGGAGCACCCTGAAGAGAAAAAAAGGAGAAAGATTTAGCTCACCGAAAAAGACATTTGGGAAAAAAAAAAAAAGACATTTGGTCTCTCTAGGTCATAGACATGAAGCAGAAAACAATTAAAGCAAAAATAGTGTCAGAGAGTAATTCTAGCAGAGTGACTTTTTCTTGTGCTGTTGGGTTACCCTCAGAGTTTCAAGATCTCCTGAAGTTTATAGAAGAATAAAGTTGGAAGAAGAAAACAAGTAATTTCCGCATCACTTAGAAAACCCAAGAGTACTGTTCAGTGTCTGATAGCTAATAAAAATTACCACTAGTTAAAAGGATTTGTGTTGTGCTTCCAAGAGAAGCATCTTACAAGATCAAATTTAATTTGGTATCACAGTATCATAAGACGCCTGAAAGGCACAGGTTTGTAGACTGTTAGTGCACAGCTATCTCTAACAATGACTTGGTCCAGGAGTTTTCCGTTCTTTTGTTTGGGGTGCAGTGGCTGCCAGCCTTTATTACAATGACATTTCTGGGAAGCAGAAACAAACTGAAACTGACATCAGCAAAACCTTTTTGAATATGGGTGGGGTAGGATGAAGTGGCAGAGGAGGCCCAGCTCTCCCCTCCTGCTTTGGAAAGCATTTTACGTTTCCTATTGTTTTATGTTTTTCTGTTGTTGTGGCTTTACGGCGGGACCATATCCTATACATTTTTCTGTGGGTCCTCCAATGCCTGGTGCAGAAGTGCACAGGCACACTTGTTGATGGTTGTTTAGCTGATTAAGCCTGAGAATGTGCCATAGTGACAAATCTATGCCTCTGTGTACATACACCAAACACGTATTAACAGTGGCTGTAAAACAGTAAGATCTGTTGCTGTGTGTAGCTCCTAGAACTCCAATTCATTACTACAGACAGTTGCTGGTTAGCTCATTCCTCCTATTTACTAGCAGTGGGAGGCATATTCCCCAGGGCCCTGGAACGAAGGTGTTGGAGGAACATTTGATCTCTGTGGCAGCCACAGGAGCACGCCTCTCGGATCAGTTTCCTGCAGGGAGGATAATTGAATGACAGGCCCGGCTGCTTCACCCTGAAACCCGCCCATCACCCCGCTGAGGTAACACTTCCCACGGCTGCTCGTGGCCAATGAATGAGTGTCATAGGATCCTAAGGCGGGCCCGTTCCTGGGAGACCTGGGACTCCTCTGGGAGGGACTTGGGCTCGAGAATTTTCCTTAGAACAGCACTGTTGTCTAAGATGCTTCCGCCCAACCCTCTGTCCCACTCTCCTTCACCTGCATCACGGTCTGAGGACCCTCTCGTTTTTCCTTACAAGTGTTTTCCCCAATAAATGTTTTGCCCATCGAATCCCACCTTTGGATCTGCTTCTTGGAGGACCCAAATTAACAGGCCCCCTATGAGACTGGCAGAGCTCCACCTGCTGGGCCAGCAACTGAGTGAACCAATACAGTTATGGGAAAAAGAATAAGAAACTGTACGTTTTTCTCAGGTGCAAGCCCTGTGCCCATATGTGTTGCCGGCCTAACTAGGCAGCCCTGTAACTTGGGTATTAAAGCCAATGCCGTGCTTTAGCCCCCATCTGGCTCCTATATCTAGTTCTCAAATTGTCTAAACCCTAAAGGGAAAGGGCAGAAAATGTTCAAGCTTCCCAAACTTTAACAAATTATTTGGTAGATGTGTCCTTTACAGAAACGTTTTTAAATTGCTTATTTGAGGGGTTCATGATTTTTCCTGTAGTCATTTTCTTTGAATCTGACCCAGTGCTGATGAAATAGCTAACATGTCACCCACACGAAATGATACAGTAGTTCGATGTAGACTGTACCTGTTGTAAATATATGTTGTATATATCTGGAAAATGTTTCCCCGGGTCAATGTATAGAGCCATAGGCTCAGCTTCCTTTCATCATGCACGCACATTCATCATTTATAAATGCAGATTTAGAAGCAATAGTTAAAACTGTTAAACATCCACTTGGAGGACATGGTATTCCAAAATGTTCTTTGTTGGGCTTTTGGAAAGAAATTTTAAACAAGGCTATAAAGTGCTCTTTAAAAATTATATATATATATATATGTAGTGGTGAAATGAAAAATGTTTCCTTACTTATAAATGTTCCCATGGTTGTTAGGTGGGTAGATCTTAATAAAGAAGTATGAAGGAGAAAAATGTTTCCAGTTCCTTCTGTTAAGTTCCTGGCTGAGTCATAATCACTATCTTTCTAATATCAAAATGTGCTATACTGGCACAATTAACACAGAAAACCAGCGTGTGCAGTTATGTGTCTGTGTGCAAAGATTTACTGTGCAAACATACACAGCTAAAGGATGAAAATACTTAATATTAGGCACTTTCCTTTAAATTTATTAAAACCTCAATGCACTGTGTTTTTTATTTATCAAGGTAAAACTTTTAACACTTGATTTGGTAAGGTCACATATAATGGAAAATTATAAGTGGGTATATTTAAGAACTAGGTTTTAAGATATTGACTCAGGAGGGGGTTAGTGGTGGTGCATATTCTTAACTGAATCTTCTCTCATCTTTTAAAAAAGAATGCGAATCAGATTCCATTTTTTTTCTGTGAATTTGTTATCATAAGAATTATAATACATTAAGGCATGAACAGGCAGGGGCCAGATGGTTCCATTTGGCTAAGTATGCTCTCTTTTCTTTTGTAAGTAGATATTTGAATTGAGAAGGGATATGGAAGACATTCTTTGGTTTTAGATAAAGAAAGCTTGAGAGAAGGCTTATCAGCCCCGCGCCATTCCCAGTTTCAGAAATGGCTATTGTCAAAGGGAAATGCCCCCCTTGGGGGGTGACAGAGTATTTGTAAAATTTGGCAAAATGGTGAACCATTTCCCAGCTATCTCACCTTCATCTCCCTCTTTACTACCAGATGCCCTATTTCGTTTTCCCCTAAACTCTCTTCTGTACGACACAACAGCCTGATGTGCTTATACACACAGTGTATTATGCTCATACACTGGAGACTTAATAATAACAGCAAACACACTGCTAGCTCTTCTAAGTTACACCTACTAACTCATTTAATCCTCACATCAATTCTCAATCCGTGGGACTTCCCTGGTGGTGCAGTGGTTAAGAATCCGCCTGCCAGTGCAGGGGACACGGGTTTGATCCCTGCCCCGGGAAGATCCCACGTGCTGTGGAGCAGCTAAGCCCGTGCACCACAAGTACTGAGCCTGCGCTCTAGAGCCCGCGAGCCACAACTACTGAGCCCACGTGCCACAACTACTGAAGCCCGCGCACCTAGAGCCTGTGCTCTGCAACAAGAGAAGCCACCACAATGAGAAGCCCACGCACGGCAACAAAGAGTAACCCCTGCTCACCGCAACTAGAGAAAACCCGTGCACAGCAATGAAGACCCAACACAGCCAAGAAATAATTAATTAACTAATTAATTAATTACTTAAAAAATTCTCAATCTGCTACCATTATTATCCCTATTTTACAGTTGAGGAAACTGAGGCACAAGGTGGGGGGGTTAAGAAACTTGCCCACGGCCTCACAGCTAGGAAGTAGCATGACTAGAATTAAATAGTGTATTTGCATCATGTGAAGGGATCAGGTGGAGAGGGAAATAATTAACAGAAAATCCCAATGTGCTGTTTTGTGGCTTAATAATGATGTAATTGAGAGATTTGGGAGGCAGAGCAGGGGCTTGTCAGTACGCTTCAAATCACTTTAATCAAGCAGCTGCCTTGTCTTATGCAGAGCAAGGGCTTACAGAGACCATAGGTGGGCAGGAGACTCAGCCAGTGCTCACAGGCCTTGTCAGATGGCCCGTCCTGGCTTCCTGCTAGGGTCCACCTTCTTCACATCTGAGATGGTGGCGGGTTTGAGATGGGGGAGCTCCTGGCTGTGATAGAGGTGGCCTGTTCTGTTCAGGAGTGGTTTGTTATGCCCTCGACTTTAGACAGTGATTATCTTAATGGTAAGCTAAGCAATGAATCCCAAATCTAAGAAAGTCAGCAATTCCAAGGTTTTAAACTGGATAGTAATAGAAAAGCGGGGCTCTACAGGTTATTTGAATTCAGATTCCATTTTCCCATTCAAATTATGCAACCAAAGGTGGCTGGGGCCTCGTAGCCAAACCAAGCTGCCTAACTGCTCCCCTTGCAATATTGCTTCCATGAGAAACCTACTCCAAGGTCCAGCCCAGAACTTGAGTCATTAGATCCCACCTCTCCATAAGACCCCACAAGTCCTGAGAGTCCCTTTCAGCTCTCACAATAAGGGAATACCACCCCTCGCCACCCTCCCGACCGGTGAGCCCCACAAGAAAGGTGTAGCTCAATTCAAGAAACACTTCTGGGGTCTCTGGATCTCTGTGGATACCTCGCTCCCTCCATCCTGAGAAGAATGTTGGTTGACCATTTGTTTATGTGGTTGGTCATAAAGTAAGTTTTCAAAACCCAGGCTGTATCAGTTCTTAGTTATTTTAGAATGTGCTGGAACCATCAGGCTGGGGACAAGGCAAGAGTACGAGCAGGGTGCTTTCCCAAGCTCCTAACTGGGACACTTGTGTGGAGGAAAGTACCAGTTGTAGAGAAGAAGCGAGGGCCATCTCTACCACAGAGGAAGATGGATGCAAGCCTCCAAAACAATAGTCACATCAGTCAATTTAGTGTGAAAAGAGAGTCAAGCTACCTTCCAACTGATTGCCAGACACAGTGACACACAGCTTACGAGGAAGCACAGGAAGAAAACCTAATTACACATGAATGGAGATGTAGAAAGAACGCCTTTCTGCCCTCCCTTCTACCTCCCTGTGCTTTTTTCTTACAACATGTGAAATAATAGGCCCAGGAGTCCTTCATAAAAATTGGATAATTCGATCAATCGATGAACAGTCATTTATTGAATACATGACTCTTTCCTCACAGCAACCCTCTGAGGAACGGACAGAATCGTATTTTGCAGACAGAGACTCGGATACTTGACCAAAGTCCCAGAGGGAGAGCTCATGATCATGAGCTACCTGGGTGGCCAAGTTAGCAGCAGCAGAACTAGAAATTCTGTACCATCAGAGCCGAGTAGGGCCAGGTCTTTTCAGCTTGTATGTTGAAAATTTGTTATTCGTCAAGGGTGACTTAGTGACTGCAACTCCAGAACTTGGTGATGTCACTCAAATACTCTATCTCCTCCTTTCAAAAATTATCTTTCTATTTATAGGAGGCTGGAACCACTAACTGAGGACCACATCAGGAATTATTTATGAGAGAAAAAGGTTAGATGCAGGACAACCAGTTTTATTAGCAAATACCAAAAAGGTCACCTACAAAAGTTTAAAAAGCCTTTTCACCTTTTAAAAAAGATAAAATACAGTTTGCAATACCCTGTGGCTTTATTGCTCCAAGACCTTAACTTTTTTTTTAGAATCAGACCTTCCAGGTTTCATCAGAAAAGTCAGAATTGAGGAAAAAATATAAACATTTGGGCAGAGAACTATATTTATTGCACCCATGATGAATTTTAGCCCCCATTTTAGAAGACTGGGTATCTGAATTTGGAGGAAAGGAAAAGAAAGGGAGGGAAAAATACAGAAATTGATAGACTCCTTTGCAAGTTCCTCTTTTCAAAGGAAGCACCCAGAGATTGGGGCTTTTTGTTTGAATCCACAAGTAATTTTACGTGCTTATTACCTGCGTTCCCACTGGGGTTCATCACTCATCAGAAGCTCTACTACATACATCCAGCTAGATTGAATAAAAGCTTCAGAGTGAAAACTTAGCAAGCTACTGACTGTTGCTGAACCAAGAGCATCTGAGAGGTTCCCCCTCCCCCTACACACACACACACACACACACACACACACACACACAAGAAGACACATGCAATCAATAAACTAGATGCTAAACTCAGCATCTTCAAGTACCTGGGCCAGGCACTTAGATTTTTGGCTGGAGGGAAGTGAGGGTCAGTGTGTTTCGTGGCTGATTGAGCAAGACAACCAAAGAAATGTATGCACTACATGATGACTCCTTGACCCACATCCATTTGTGCCCTCCTTGTCCTGGAAAGCTGGCCCTCGGCTTGCCTCTGCCCTCCTCTAGTCAGGATGTTGGAGGAGAAAGATGGTGCTGAGCTCTGCCAGCTCAGTTTTTCTCACCTCCTCCGTTTCCAGAGTACATTCTTTTCTTCTGGGGGGTTGCCCAGCTCCTGGCCGAAAGGCTCCCATTGGGATATTGATATTTGCCTAAAAGAGAAAACAGGGAAGATTTAGGTTAAGGAAAGTAAGAAATTGCAATGACACTCTGAGATGGTAATCATTGTGAGGCAAAACAAATCTGAAAAGTACGTCTTTAAAGCTTTTTACCTCAAGAAAATTGCTATGACAGTACAAAAATATGCCAAGGAAAATTTGACTTCCATTTATTCCAGATTTCTTGTACTCATCCTGAGGTCTGTGCAGTGATTTCACAGTTCCCTATTGGCTGGAAGAATTGGAAGACAGTTTGTTCTGGCTGTTGCCCTCCTGTGGTGCCTAATATTTTCCGCTCTCTGGGATGAGGAAAGAACACATAATGATAGGAAAGGAGGCCATGGCATTTGCAGAAACCATCCCACATCTTAGCCCTCCTTCAGCTTCCTTCAGATTTACCACGGGAGGGGGGCAGTCACACCTCCCAAACCACCTCCTCCCTCCCATAATGTCCTAAGGCTATTCTAGCACTGCCTTAGGTCTCTGTAATTTGACACTCTTTTACTTTCTCCCCAACACCCCACTGTGTGGGTCAGTGTGTAAGGAGAGTGCTGGAAAGTCAAGTTGATTGGTATCACAGTTCATAGATTTTTGTCCTTTATTAAGATGCAATACCAATTTCTACCCACAGTAAACATAAAATAACTTCTAGAAAACATGAAATATGCTAAACATTAAATTATGTAAGGAAAATACCGACACAGTAGTTCAAACTTGGGAAAGAGAATATGTAAATTTGAATTTTGTCCATACTTCTTCATCTGGTATCAAAAGGCAAGAATGTTTAATGCAGACCAAAAACATCTTCACCCAGGAGTATCACTCACATAAAACAAGCATTAAAACTTTTCTTTAAGGCAGAATGTATTTTTTTCCACTTGAGATAACGTGTTGCCTTATGAGTAGTTGGATTTGTGGGCTTGAAAAGTTGAAATTGCGCTCTGATGTTATGAATGAAAATGATGCCCGAGCAAAGGGAGCAACATATTTTGTTACCGTATGACTCAGTTTGGGCAATTTTGATACCACACCAAACAAAATCATTAGGAAGTGTGGTATTTGGAACTGCCTGATATGAGCTCTGTTGCCAGGGGAATGTTTAACTCAAGACACAGGAAATATCCAGTGTCCGTGTTCATGCAACATGGTGGATCTATGTTCTGCTCCGAAGAACAGGAGGTGACTTTTTTCACATAGGACTTTAAACCTTTCTTCCCTACTAGAATAATGATGATCCCACAGAAAGGAAACAGATCCAAAGTGTTTGTTGTGGGTATCAAGAGAGGTACATCACCATTCCTAGGGCCAACAAGCCAAGAAGTATTTGGGGTCAGTATGTATCATATATGCTAAAATATAAGTGCAGCACAATTTTAGAGGGAAGCATTTTGGAAAAACTAAGGCTGAGCCTTCTATACTATTCCTCTGTTTAATGGAAATATCAGGTGGCCTAGAGTGGGGGGAGGGGAAGGTATAAGACAAGGGGGAAAACATGTCTTCTGTGGTGGCAAATATGGTAGCATACTTCACGAAGTCCAAGATGCACCTCTTTTAATATCTCTGAAATCAGAGCATGTCTTACAGTCAATGGTATCTTAAATTTTTAATGGGCACACTTGTTTTATTTCTTAGGACATAAAATACTGGTATTTTACAATTGACAGTGTCTTAGATAGGATGAAATATCATTAGGGTCCTGAAATAAGATCAAAACAATGTAAGTAAGACTCACCGAAGATGATGTATATTGAACCAATAACTATTTCCATTACTACAGTTTGGATGAAAGAGGGGAAAAGTTGATATAGGGACTATTTGGAAGACAGTTAACTGGCTAAAAGTTTAATTAGATCACCACTACCCTGACCCATTTATTAAGCATGTACAGAGGGCATCTTCCTAATGGGAAGTTCAAGTTAAAGTATTGTTTCTGAAAGATATGATTGTTAAACTAACCCATTTAATCAAGTGTGTATGCTCTATGGTGTTGTAGTTTTCAGTAATGGAACATGTAAAAATCATCCAGGATGGTGTATTCAGTAAAGCACATGCTATGGAAATACCACCTTTTCTTGCTCAGAGATTGATTTTAGGAATGCATGTAGCCTCTCCATGGTACCTGTGTGGCTATGGTAGTGAAAAGAGCCCAATGCTAGGAGTGGCTATAGATTCTCTGTACTTGAAAGAGTGACAACTGCTCTGGGTCTTGTCTTCCCCACTTGTTTAATGTGAATGTTAGGCTTCACTAATGGAACCCTTCTCGGCCATGGAACCCTTCTTTTCAGTAAAGTGTTGTGAGAATATGTAAAATGCAAACTAGGTGGAGGTGGAGCTGCTCTGGCCAAGGTTATAGGGAGCCCAGACCCCATCTGCTTCCCCCAAGCCCTGGACCGTGAGCACTTCCAAGGAACTTGGGGGCCCAAATCTGACAGCCATTGAAAGAGATCACCCCTAAGTGAATGAGTATTGATGTGCATTTAAAATGTTCACTCTGCCCACTGTTAAGATGTCTGTAATTTACTTTAAACTACTTTAGCATAGACAGTGTGATATTTTATACGCACAGGTTGGTTTAACTACAACTGTAGGGAACACTATTGCTCTCATTGGGAGTTCATCCTCCTGGGGTGGTTAGGTGGTAAAATATCACTAAGACCACGTTCCCCAGATTGCTGCTCCAAGTGTTTTCTGTTAGGTTTATCTCCACCAATAACCGAGGCTTTAATGTTTGCATAAATGGCAAAAAATCAGTGAAATAATGGAATGACTATTAGAAATGGCTTGTCTTGATGAAGTTGGAGGAGGTTAAGATATGTAGAGTGGTTAAAATATTTTAGAGACAATTCCCACCCTGCTGAACAGAGTGTAAGAATCTGATGCCTATAGCTTGCGTCTTTAGAGACAGAGCTCAGAGGGGTGGTCCCTAAGTGGGCCTGTCTCCAGTCATTGATAATGAGGATTTCTAGCTGACTGCTGCCAACTAGGGGCAACAGAATCCCCACCTGCCTCCCATGAACCTTTTATGCAAACGGGCAGTCACTCAGAGCATTTAAAGTGACAAGAGCTGAGGCTTCATCAGGCTCACAGACGGACTGTATGGATGGTTTCTGCTTGTTTGCTAACAAATGCGTGTTTAACAAAGTGGCAGAGTTGGGTTGGGACTAACTTTCATCTTAACCTGGTGGTGAGGTTGTGGAACAGTAACTACCCCTCCCCACGTTCACCACAAACCACCCTTATCCACCCTAAAACCCCAAGATTCAGCTAGGTTGTCATAACACCTTCATCCTCACAACAAACTTCTGAGGTGCAGACTATCATCTTCATTTTACTCAGAAAGAAACTGAGCCTCAAAGAGGTTAGGTGATTTGCTCAAGGCCACACGAACTTACACCTTGAGAATGGCCTTGGAAAAGGGGCACACCAAATGGATAATTCTAGAATAGGCATCAAAAAAAGCCACATTTGAGGGCTTCCCTGGTGGCGCAGTGGTTGAGAGTCCGCCTGCCGATGCAGGGGACACGGGTTCGTGCCCCGGTCTGGGAAGATCCCACATGCCGCGGAGCAGCTGGGCCCGTGAGCCATGGCCGCTGAGCCTGCGCGTCCGGAGCCTGTGCTCCGCAACGGGAGAGGCCACAACAGTGAGAGCCCTGTGTACCGCAAAAAAAAAAAAAAAAAAAAAAAAAAAAATCAGAATTTGGCAACTGTGCATTATCAACTCTCAGTTCCCAAAAGGAGAAAGGAAAAGCTGAATTGGATGATGTCATTGCCAATTACCCCGACTATAA